TTCCCTTAACTTCTAGCCTCCCTAACTCTGTTAATTTTAATAGTACAAGAAAAAGCTAAGAGACCATTTTTATGTAGAATTGTCTGCTTTACAACTTTCATGAAAAACTTTATCTTGAAAAAGCCCTTTATTTTATCTTTTTCCACCCTTGGCCGGGGGTTGAACAAAAAATTACTCTCACTTATTGTTATAATATACCTTAAACTAACTCATATCAAAAATTCAGCCAAGTTGACAAAATTTCGATTTAAAGGCTTAGTTAATTGGACTATAAGGCACAGCGACTAATTTGAAGAAAAAATAAAATAAAGTAAAAAATGCGCCTGATAACTTAAAATACATAATTAGATTACAGAAATATTTAAAAACGACACATGCATAAAAATCACTGCTTAATTGCAGTTCAAAATACAGAAATATCGAAGTAATTTCAAAGCTACAATATTTTAAACCAAATAAATAATAATGACTCATTATTGTAAACTTTATTTGTCAACTTAGAAGTTAGTAGAATTTAAATTGTCGAAAGGTAACAGTAATACTTAAAATAATTATTGAAACAGATATTCGGCATATTTTTCAACAATTAATTTATCACATTTAAAATAAAAAATAGGAAAAAAGAATACAATCCACACTTAAGTTTACTCTTTATAGTCCAGACGATATCGGTTTCAGAAAGTTCATATTTGGATGAATCGTATATCCACGGAGATTTTTGGCTTTTTGTCTTTCACTAGAAATGAAAATTCTTCTCTCCGCATAAAAATAAACCTGGGCTAACTTTTGGCGGCACAATATATTAAAAAAATTCGAAAAATGTCATATTTTTCTTCCTATTTAATTATGTATCTTTTCAATAGTTGATTTTAGGCGAAAAGGGAAGAGGAAAAAATGTTTGTAATTAAATTCTTTACAAAATATGACTAGTTACAAATCGAATGAATCATGATTATTATTGTGAAAATCGAAAAAATCGCCAAAAATGAAGTTAAAAAACATTACTTTCGGGACAACAATTTTGGGATCTTTAAATTGGGTATAGGACCTTCATACTTGACTCAAGAAAACTTCATGTTATGTAGAATCATCACACCAAATTTCATCAAAATCGGTTAGATAGATTTTGCATAATAATATTGCAATCCAAATTTTGAAAAAAACTGCAAATTTTCAAAATTTTGCACAGCAAAAACCAAGGTCCTTAGATACTTGAAAATTTAATCACATATAGAAGGGCTCTTTGTTAGGAGAGCTCTCGCGCTTGTTTAAACATTGGTCGAATTTTTGTACTTACAAACAATTAGAATAACTTTGTGAATATTCAATCAAATCAAATTTTTTAAAGCAGGTTTTAAAAGTTATTGGAAAGGCGCTTCTTTTTAAAAAAATACAGAATGATGATGATTGACCTGGTAAGTACTCGAAATACCAAAGGTATTTTTCGAAAAATTAGCCCGGATGTCCCAGTACATTTAGTGTAAGTAACGGTTAACTTTCGTCGGCTATAACTGCGTAACTAATTGACCAATCGATTTGTTTCTTTTTAAAAGAAGCGTCTTTCCAATAACTTTTAAAACCTGTTTTAAAAAATTTGATTTGATTGAATATTCACAAAGTTATTCTAATTGTTTAGTCCAAAAATTCGACCAATGTTTAAACAAGCGCAAGAGCTCTCCTAATTGATGGATTCGAATTTTTCAAAAAGCATTTGAAAGCTTGAGAGCCCTTCTATATGTGATTAAATTTTCAAGTATCTAAGGACCTTTGTTTCTACTGTGCAAAATTTTGAAAATTTGCAATTTTTTTTCAAAATCTGGATTGGAAAATTATTATGCAAAATCTATAGAACCGATTTTGATGAAATTTGGTGTGATGATTCTACATAACATGAAGTTTTCTTGAGTCAAGTATAAAGGTCCTATACCCAATTTAAAGACCCCGAAAAAATTCCCTAAAAAGTAATGTTTTTTAACTCCATTTGTGGCGATTTTTTTCGATTTTTATAATAATAATGATGATACATTCGATTTGTAACTATAAAAAATTTAATTACAAACATTTTTTTCCTCTTCCATTTTCGCCTAGTCAACTCTTGAAAAGATACATAATTATATTAAAAAATATGACATTTTCCGAATTTTTTTAATAGAAAAATAGAAAAATTTTCATTTATAGTGATATTTGAAAGCCAAAGAGCCAAAAATCTTCGTGGATATACGATTTACCCAAACTAAAACAGATACCGCCTATATAGTCTATTATGTATATTACATTAAAATTAAATAAAATAGCTTTTATATAGAAGGAACAAATACTCAACGTGCAATTTGGTCATCGGTATTAGTTATACTTGAAAATAGCCAGGCCACATTAACAGAATCAACTTTAATTTTATGTTAGAAACAAAATTAATATACAGGGTGTTAAAATATTTATAGTGATAAAATTTGGGAGATGAAATTTTTTTAATAGAGACTATTTTCCCATGGATAATTTATTCCAAAATACACTCCAATGGCGTAGTTATTGGGGGAGTAGGGGACCTTTTTTCAAAAAAATCGCACGCCACTGGTGTTTTAAATCATTTTAAACGTTTTTAAAATGTACAAAATCAATTTGTGGCAATAAAGTAGTATGCTTGTAAAGTATTCGTAAAATTTACCGGTCTTTAGATAATTGGGAAATCAAATAAGAAGATACTTAAGTACCTACGTTGCTATTTACCATTTTCTATTGATTGCTAAATGTGTAACAATACATTCAATACCTAATATTTTTGAGAGATCTCAAAAGACTATACAACGCCAAACGCCACTGTTTTGTGTGCTGCAAAAAGTT